TTAGTTATCTCGTTCAGAATCCACAGGTAGGAAGCAACAAACACCATATTAATCACACTTGCGCTAATCTCTCAAAACTTATTCAATAGTTTTTAGTTTGTAAAGACCCCTCCGAACTTTAACAATGGCAACAACAACAAAATGTGCTGCTTTTCTAGTTTCACTCAGTGAAGGCTAGATCCCAATTCTCCTGCCTGACGTAGGGATACATTTGAACACACACATTCCTGGTGCCTATAAAACATTTTGTTCTGTTCTGTGATTCACCTGCAACTGAAGTAGTGGGTTTCTGTATTTATAATGGAACACTCTGCCACCATTTTCTTTACCATGCCATCACCTTTTTTTGTGATTAAAACATGTTTCAAGACAAATGTCTCAGGAACCAATCTCCAGTTCAAAACTTTAATAATCAAATCTCAAATATTAATATTTACTATAAGTGCCCATCTGTTTTCATTAAAGTGGTCTTTTCTCCTGGACAAGGGCCCAGAGGCTGCTTTCTGTTGTAACTGCTTGCAGAGGCATCAGGGATCCTATAAATTATCTGGTCCAAATAGAGGTGGAAATCAAAGTAGAGGAAGTCCAATTAGAAAATGCTAGGACTAAAGAATGTGTCACCTCTAGAGGAACGAGAAGGGCCAGAATGAATTAACTCTCATGAAAACCAGGAAATAAAGTAGGAGGCTTGAGGAGATGGGTCAATCCTTTCCCATTGTGAAGTTCAAGAGGGGGTGATCCCAGGAGAAGCAGATGCAATCCTGGTCGTTGTTACATGAGAGAAAGGAATAATGTTTATCATTGTTTTCTGTCAGATATTTTTCCATTGTTTTTAATTTTTGGCAACCTTCTGCAATGTTCGAGGTGCTTTTTTTTATCACTACTTTCAGTTGAGGAATCTGAGGATTAGCATACCTTAACTGGCTCAGGTCACCAAATCAGTAAGTGGCAGAACTGGGATAAAAGACTGAGTCTAATCTCAAAGCCCATGATTTTTTCCTTATGTTTTGCTGCCCCTACAGTTCTATTAGGGTCATGGCTTCTCATTTGAGGGCCTGTAAATTAAAATGCAAGTTTCTCTCAACAGGCCAAACAAATCTGAAGGTTGGAATGAGGCTAGGAGTCTTGGAGATTCAGGCAAAACTCTGGATAATTTACTAACTCATGATGTCTTCTAGAACTTGAAGAATGAGAGAGGACATTTTCTTTCTTAAAGGATTTCTTTCTTTCTTTCTTCTGGTTCTGCTCAGCATAAGAAAGCAGAATATAACTACCTAATCATTTGTGGTTCTTCCAACAGAAAGGAGGCCCCATTGGGTCTTAATTTGGTTTCAAATCAAATAACACCAATATTACAACACTGGTGGCAGGCTCTGAAAAATTCTAGCACTGTATGATCCAGTTTTGTTTAAACATTCTTTTCAGTAGACAGGACATACTTTTTCTGTGTCAGATATATTTCCAGATCAAATCATTGGGAGATTACATTAGGATAACTAGATCGCTGCTCCTTCTAATCTCACAGCACCTTCACATGGTCTCACCAACTCCTGCTGATTTTTGGCCTTTTATTATACTGGTATATCCTAATTTATTTCAACTACAGAAGGAAGCAAATTCTTGAATGTGCATGTTAGTTGTTTCCTCATATACATATAGTTTCTTTGGCATTTAAAGAAATGCTGATGGCTCCAATTCACTTGGGCTATTTAACAAATATTGTATTAAGATTTGAAAGGGCAAGATATGAAAAAAGATATGAAAAAAGCAGTTAGATGGAAAGTATTTTTACCCTATCTCAAAAAATGTAGCTGTAACATCATTGATGGGTTAGGACCTAATAAGCCTTGTTTATACATCCTTTTTGCTCAATGAGCTAATTGTATTCCCATGATTTTAGAGACAGGTAGTGAGGAGAGTGTTTCTTTGGAAAGCTTGGTTTCTCCACACACTAACTGCAGGGGACATTAACTTCTCCAAGCATCAGTTTTCTTGTCTATAAAATGATGATAGAGGTAATTTTTCCATATAGTATTTAGGAGAATTAAGCCAAGTAATGCATATGAGATGCTTAATATAACATCTGGTATCCAGGAAGCCCTTAATATATTTATATAGCCTATATATAATTAGCCCATTTTAAGTGAACAGATCTGTGGTGTTATGTTCACATTGTGTAATTATCATCACTATTCATCTTCAGAACTTTATCTTCTTACACTAAAACTTGCTACCCATTAAATAATAGCCTTCTATTACCCAACCACTCGGTACTTGACAACCATTATCTTCTTTCTGTCTTGATGAATTTGACTTTTCTATGTACTAAGTGGAATTGTACATTTATTTTTATGTGACTTTTTCACTTAGTATCACGTCTTCACTTATACTATAGAAATGGAATTTTCCAAGGACGAAAAATATTTTATTAGTACATATATACATACATAGTTTTACTATAACAATCCAATACAGCGCTACTTGAAATCACCAATAATGTGTGATTCTATTTACTATTGACCAAGACCCAGCTTCAGGGGGGTTAGCAATTTTATTATTCATGATAAGAAATGCAGATGAAAGATTTTTGAGTAAGAATACCAGGATCACTTTTGAGACCTTTTCTCCACTAATGTTCATAAAGTCTGCTAGGAAGGTCACTTTCTCCAAGGTAAAGAATGTCGCTATACAGGGCCCTCCCTGATGGTGCAATGGGTTAGGATGCAACACTGTAAGCTACCGGCAACCGCTTCAGTGCAAGTTCCATCCCTGGCCCCAGCCCTGATGTGACAGCCCTCTCCTGTCTCACCTGCTGCTTCCCTCAGCAGTGTACGTGGTAGATCTGTCTGTTCTGCCCCCCACTCTGTCTCTGGTGAATCCTCTCACCACCCCTGCATCTCTGGCCTGTACCCCAGTGCTGTATGCCTAAATATTTTTTTTTTAAAAAGGTCTCTATTCAGAGAAGCAAGACAAACATTTCTATAATATAGGAGGGAAGGAGATTGAAGGAAGGAGAGATGTTGAATCAGGAAGTCTGAAATTTAGTTTTAGAACAAGGAGGTTAAACACACACACACACAGAAAAAACAGAAGCTTTGGGACAAACTGAATTGTTCAAAGAAGGGGTCGTGAATATACCTCCCACCTGCATACACATTTACAATGTGGTAATGACATTCCTCTGTCAAAAGGCAGGGTCTATTTCCCCCTCTCTCAGTCTGGGAAGAACTTGGGAAATACTTCAAACAATAACATAATAAAAGTGATGGGATGTGACTTGTGACTTGTGGGTCTGGCCAAGCAAAGTATCACATGTTCATCTTGGGTCATCCCACCAGCCCTGAGAAGAAGGGCTGAAGTCCCCAGCCTAGAGCCAGTACCAACTTGCCAGCTGAGTGAGTCAATTTCCTTGGAAGTACTTGTTCCAGTCCCATTCAAGTCTCCCAGCTTCAGATGCCAACAGACCCAACAGACATAGTATTCTAACTTTAATGAGATTCTATGTGAGAACTGCCCAGATGAAACTTTCTTTAGCCAACAAAAACCAGGAGAAATGATGGTGGTTGATTCAATCCATTAAGTTGTGGGGTATTGTTTTCTGCAGCAATTGCTAACTAACTACAGTTACTTTCTCTTACTACTCATTGCTACACAATGATGGATATGAAATGGATGTTACTTTGAGGAGACCGACTCAGAGGCATCCAAAGTAACACACGCATCCACGCAGGCAGAGCCAGTTTAGACAAACCTCAAAGTCTTCATTTCCATGAATGCATCACACCCAGGTGAAAATGGGCAGCTGAAGCGAAATGTTCAACCTCAGGAACTTATGTTAGTTGGAACTTTAGAATATACAGATCAATCAATGAATAGATAAAAAGTGTACTTGTAAGTCAGCTGGTTTCATTATGCTCACAAGGTAGAGGAAATCTTGGTTAAACCTGAGAAGATATTTTTCCTGAGGTAGATAATACCTCTTCTAAGTTGTTACAATACATAGGATTCCACCCTCTTCTAGGTGCTTTAATTCAGAGCACAATTTTAATAATGGTTTAAACAAACAGGAGCCTTTGGGCCCTTTTTTTCAAACAACAGTTCTAGAACATTTCTCCATCACAGAGTGTTTATACTAAGAGACAAGTTTAACATTATGAATGAATGGAATAGTGGGAGGGCTTTGCTTCTGGCGTCAAGAGATTTAGATTCTAGACTTGATCTGATTATTAACACTGTCTGTGAATTTCAGCAAGTCTCTTCAACCTTGAAACTTTTACTCTGTGAAAGATTTTATCCAATGTCTGAAGATTTTTGCAGTTCTTTGACACTATGATTTAGAATTTCCTAGTGATGAAATAACTCCTCAGCTAGTAATTATGTCCCTTCATTAAATGTATTTATCCACACTATAGTATATTTTAACAAACTTCTAGAATGCAGGAATATGTGGCATTTAGGAACACTGAACAAATGAATCAAAAAGCAAATACAATTATATATCCATTTAAATAATAGAGAGTTTTGCTGAAAGGTTATATTTTTTGTTCATAAAAACTTCATATGTCTTATCATTGCTTGAAGAGAATTTATACTATTGCTAAGTGCTGAATAAAATAGTCATATTTCTGTTCTGTTTCCCTAAATGTATCATATACCAACTCACAACTTGAAATCACTCATCTTTGTGGTTCTCCTCCCAAACCATCTTGGGGGTTTGATGTTCTGGCAGTGTTACTTTGGGGTTAGTCCAGTTGAGACAATGCTTGGTTGGGTTTTTTGTTGTTAGCTTTGAGTGATTAGCCACTTTGCCCACTCCTGTTAGGGTGGACAAGGAAGACTGAGAAAATATGAATATGAGACCCAGCTCTTGCCGCAAGACAGTGGCACTTCACTGCTGCGATACTGAAGGATAGAAATGACAGGTATTCTCCACATTAGTGTAGAACTGGCAGATTGTTTCACATGTCCCCCGAAAACAAATCTGCATTTCACACCAGACAGACATGAAACCAAGATTTATTAAAATACCCTTAGCATATTTACAACTGAAAGCCATGAATGCAATACTCTGCATATCAAAAAAATAGAGTTCTATCTCTTAGAACAAATTAACAGTTATCAACAGCTTAGGATAAATATAACCTATCACAGAGATAGAATTCTTTGAATAGACAATCTATATTTTGTAAGATATACTATGTACAAAAATACAATGATGTGGTGTCTAGGTAGTGTCAAGAAGGAAAAAAATATATTTATACACGTACACATATTTTCATTATGTGCAAGTCAATATTGATTCCTTCACCCTTACTTTTTAAAAATAAATACTTCATTTGATTCCAATTGACATTTATAAATTTAACTCATAAGCACTTCTCCTTTCTGACAATATTAAATATGCAAACAAATTAGAAATACATATTTTTAAAAGTTTAAAGGGGAAAAATACCTGAACCCAATTAGCTTATTACAATAAGGTATATCCAAGAGCGTGAAGTATAAGGTTTCATATCTTGAAACCTTTTCTCAAACTGACTTCATTATTACTTAAACTCCTTCAAGGTTACATGTAGGAAAGGTCTAATACTCAATTGAACAGTAAAGACAACATTTTTTGAGGCCAAATGGTTGACACACTTTCAGGACAAACACTTTCTTTTAGAGCACTTTCAAGAGTGTAACAATTACTGTTGATCTGTAAAGAACCACGAGTTGTTAATATCCTGATTCAGACTAGGGTAGATGCTCAAATCATGAGTAATAAAAAGATAGGCGTGGCTCTAAATAAGTCTGATTCAAAATGTTTGTACAGAAGTCAATCCATTTGTCCAGCAGAAAAAAAAAAAAGTTCTTGAGATTCAAAAATGTAATCTCATGCATCATAGCTGGTGACCTGGACTGATTTATAATTTGTCAAATGAATGGCTCCTAATTAGACAGCTTTAAAGTGAAATCTATGAGAAATCAAGGAGGACTAAAACAACCCTCCCCTCAACCTTCTTAAAATAAAGTAGCATGAAATGAGAAATGTATTTTCCATTTCTTTTATGGATTTTCCCCTTCGCCTAAGTGATGAGGTGATGCTGACATTAACAAGAGGCAGTCACAGTGCTGTGTCTCGGTGACAGCGAAGCGCCCAGTCCAAAGGGCTGGGGGACGGGTGTGAGAGAGGGAGGGGGAAAAGCAGGGCCCTGGAGAAACTGTATAGGTAAAGTGAGGGAAAAAATAGCTGTGGGGTGTGAAGGAAGGGGAGATCGAAGCATAAGCGTGGAAAAGAGGGAAAGTGAAATGAAGTGAGATGCCAAGAGAACTTCTGGACATGCAGAGAGAAAACAGGAAGGTCCATGGCCAACCATCCCATGGAAATGAACATGAACTTTAATGGAGTTATTAAAGCAAACACAGGGTGGTTTCGCTGGGGTTCCTGTTTTCCCAGTACATTGTCTAGCACTGCCCAATACGAGATACTGGGCATTCCCATCTGCCTAACAGATTCCTTGAGTTTCCATTGAAAGGCTATGACAGAACCATGGCAAGAAGCACTAGCTTCCTAGCAATGTGTTATTTCAGTAAAATATTGCTGACCTCTTTGAAACTCTCCTCCTCTGTCTCCTGCATTCCACTGCTTGCAATCTCACAAGGCACAATGAAGACACATCATTGCATGGGTAGAATACATGGCTGGAAGTAGAACTGAGGGTCCAGGTATCACTGAGAAAACTAAGCCCTGCAGGACTTGAAATAACTCACATTTCTATTAGGCCTGATTCCTATTAGGATCCTGACTGATTTCACTTAGGTTCTGGGCATGCAGGCCAGTGCTGATTTTTTAGGCCAAAGCACGATCCCCCTAAATCCCAGTCCAAAGGCACCGGGCTTCCCATGCTAGTCTAAATTAAAACTCAATGAAAGGAAAAGACTACAATGAATCAATGACATATTTTCTCTAGGAGTCTTAAAAAAAAAAAAGCTCAATTCCTAATTTCAAAAGTTTTCTGCCTTTAAGGAGTATCTTATATGCTTCTTGAAAGGGAAGTCTTTTTTCCTTAATGCTTATACTCCAAAGATTATTTATCTCATTTAGAGTAGAGTCATATTGCGTGTCCTGGGAAATCAAAGATCTGCAGAGTAAAATTGCAGGATGCAAAATTAATGATTTGAAATACATCTATCCCTGATTTGAAATACATCTATCCCTCCAAATCCTATTCATCTCCCTGGGCAGACAGGAGAATTGTCACTAAACTTTCTCTCTCAGTCATGAATTTGTTTCCAAAAGAAATGGATGTCTTTGGGGGATTATTCAGAGCGTAATCTCAGTAGGGCTGAGACCACCTTCTTGATGGCTTGGTGTCAGAGGTGAAGAGGAAAGTAACCAAGAAAAATGGGGAAAAATGAGCTATTTATCGTTCACTCAAACCTATCTAAAGTGGGAGATTTTGAATCTCTCCTAGTCTCTTACTGGGAAGAACAGTATAATGTCTATATGAGATATTCCCACTTACATACTAACTGTAGAAGTAAACCTGGAGTTCAAAATGTGCCCCAAGACTTCTCAGAGCTGTTTATTCCTGAAAACATCTATCAACCTCATCTAGGGGAGGCAGAGGCAAGTTCCCTATTTATCCAGTGATTTAGCCTTTCATTTTGGAAAGGAAGCCCTAGAAAATGGGACAAAATGAACACTAAAAAATAATTTCTTTCATGAGATAAGAATGGAAATAAGCCCTGGAAGCGAACAATAAAGGAAAGTAAAGGAAACTCTGCCAAAGACATTGACAAACCACGGTGACAACGTGACTGAAAAGATTTGATTTCGTTCTCGATACGCTAAGTATGAGATTATGCATTGGCAGCTCACACCATATATGGGGAGAAAGATTGTCTTTGAAGCCAGAGATTCCCTTGGTCTTGGCACAGGTTGGATTTAGGGAAATATTCAGTCTGTAAGGCACCCTTTGTAGAAGGTTGTTTACTACATAGGGAAGGATTCCAAATTCTTTGGAGGTGAGTTTGGCAGAAACTATGGATTCATTTGCATGTTGCTAGCCCAATACTATCAAATGTCATACAAAGCATAAAAAAGAATAGAATCTGGATCAGCTTTTAGAAAGGCAACAAGAGATTCTTAATATATTTGAGATTAAAGACTTATATGATTATAGATGAAATGCAGAATAATTAATGAGTTACCACCTCCCTATACAAACCTAAGACGAAGTCAGACTTTCTCAGATTTTAGGATGGAGAAGATCCCTTGAACAAGTACTTCATTGATGTAATATGCAATAAAGTCTGGAATTCACTTGAGCTCTTAACTGAAGTGGACCATCATAGTAAAGCAGGGAAGGAGAAGGGGGAATGGGACCTCTATGCTAGGCTGTGCCCATGGTGGTCAGGAATAGAGGGGAGACGGGCCCAGTCAGCTCCATTTGAAGATAGCTGTCCTACTGAACGAGGCTTGACTTGCTTCCCTAATGGTTCTGCTGGTAGAAACTGCACAGGGGCCTAAGAGACCTGAGTGAGCGAACTACTATTTCCCAGATTTCCCGGTAAGCTGTTAACTACGCAAATTTCCCAAATGCTAAATTTCTATCACCATGTTGATTAAGAGTCTTGGACCAAATGAAGCTACTGAACTGGCTTCAAATTTGACAAGTTAAAACTCTTTGAATTCACTACTTCCCAGCAAAGTGTTGAACTGGGAGAGTTTGGTAGATTGCCCACTTCTTGGGAGGGGAAATGAAGAATTGTGAAACTAACATTCAGTGCCTCTAACAAGGTGTCAACAACTGACGGGTGTGCAGAAATGACACAAAATGGACCTCTTGGTCACATACGCCTGTGTAACTGAGCCTCCTTATGCCTGGATTCAATTGCTAATGGAGTCATAAATACTGTTATGCGAGTCTGAAGGAGACAGACCTGCTGAGGCCTGTTTCTGAAGGTACTTGTCTTTTAGTCATTTTTGTACCAACAGTAGAAAAGTTTCCAAGCAGCTGGGTTGTTTCTCTCTATAGCTGGAAAATGGAAACACATCCAACAAGCTATTTGCATTTGGAAAGCCTAAAAGCTATCCATTATTTTAAAATACTATTAGTTTTGCCATAGACTCGTTTTGTGTGCAGACTTTTTATGACAACAAAGTAGCTGACATGAATCAAGTGCATTTCTTAATTAAATCCACTCTCTTCCATAGTCTTTAGGCCTTCTTGAAGGTAAAATACTTAATATATGAAATGTGCTATTCATGTCTTCTGGATATTCCACATATTTATAAATTGTCCTTTGGAGGGAATTCAGGGTAAGGAAATTTTAATGGTCTAGTACTTCTACTATATCACACCCCTTCTCACTGTATGGAGCTTTTTCAGAAATAAACTATTTAGGGTAATTCTTGAAAACTCTTTCAAATTCATATTCTAAAAACTGCCTTGTTGACTTGAGTCTCAAGTGATCATTACAGAGCTCATACTTTGCCCACAATCATCAGCTCTTATGGCTGTTGAAATTCTTATGTTAAAAACTTCTACAACACTGAATTTCACAACATATCTATTTTACTGGGGACTACCAAATCTGATGTTTTGTTTTCCCTTTCAGCTTTTTATCATTTTTTTTTTCTGCTTAGAATAGGCAGAATCAAAGAAAAATGAAGCTCAAACCGAAAAGATAGTTCTTGCTAGCAATTTTTAAATAAAATTTAAACAACTTTCTAAAATCATATACTTGAAATTTGGATCAGATATTTAGGGAACAATGGTATCTTTTGGATGTCTTCCCTCTTCTTGACACAAATTGGTCTTATCCTTGTTTGGGGAGACCAGAGTACTACTAAGTAGACCTAGGATGTCAGAGAATGAAGAGGCTCCCTTGTCAGCACAGTCTGGTGACTAGACACAGACCACAAGTCGACGTGTCTCTTTCCCATTCAGACTGTGACTCAGTGCTGTTTGCTGCACTGCTGGGTGCAGTGACCAGCGCCAGTGACACTAGACCAGGGAGAAGTAGAAATGAAAATGAGAAAATATAATGTGTCAGAAGGTGAGAATTTAATTAAAACAAATACTTCTCTCAACACTGGCAGCATAATCTACAAACCCAGGCCACCAGGCACATCTTTAGCAAGAATACACTTACAAATTGTTTTAGGTACCATCTTGACCAAATTTTGTGAAACTTTACTGTGTCACTTAGAAGGGAAGGCTATGTTGCCAATGGGGTGTATATGCGCACATGGGGAGTGGCACCCAGATACATAAAGCAAGGTTCACACAGCTTGAGAAGAACGAGGGCCACCATGGTGTCTAACTACACTAAATTATGGCACTTGACTGGTGTGACAAAGTCATCAGTTTTTTTCCAACAGAGGCAGGCAAATTTCATTCTTTGGAAGTAGGTATTTACTGCCAGTTTCTCATCTGTTCACTACAATGAAATGCAACTTGAGCTGTAAATTTCTACCTGTGAGATGCATTGACTCCACACATTCCCCTTCACCACTGGGTCCCTGAACGGGTATCTGTGGAGGGTGACCTGCCAGTTCTGCCACCTTCAATGCTTTTTTTGTGAGCATCCTACTTAGAGATCTGAAATGGATGACAGAGACCCCACTGATGGCTTCCTTCAAGTCTGTATGGATCACGCGGACCAAGTGAATGCTGGTCTCATTGAACTCAAAGTTGATTCCCAAGGTGTGGGCCAACACAGGCAGTTTTCTTTTGTGTGATCAAACTAGAGGTAGCATCAGGGTGGACAGGGTTGCTCTAAGTGAAATTGGTTTTAAATGGATGAATTCTCTTGGTTTTCTTTAGAGGTGAAGGAAAATGCAAAGAGAGCAGTATGAAAGATGCCTACTCACAAGTAACTTTAGTTATCTAAGTTCCTTACCAGCTTTTTTATGTTGCTTTTCTCACCTTTAATTCTGAATTAAACAAACCAAAGCAAAAAACACCACCAACCAACCATGTCACCATATCCTTTCTTTTGATTTGTTGGAAAGGGTGATAGCACCTTCATGAATATGGCTTCTGAGACTTGATTTGATCCTGATTGTGCATTCTTTATTCCAGAGATGGGCATTACATTAGGATATGGTGCTACTTCATTAGCTATCTTGTTGGGGTCCCTAAGGGGCCTGAGGACGGGCAGGCTTGTCCTGGGTGACATTCAGGCACCCGGCAAGCTGAAAAATACAACTTTTCAAGATGTTGGGGCAAAGTGTAGCCACTCAAGACAGCGGGGCTTGGAAAGGCTATTCCTGTCTGGACTATCTGGATCTCTCTCCCTTCAAGGTGGAAGCGTGGTGATTTTGGAGACTATTTTCAATTTGCCCTCAATCCTTTCACTCCTCCTCCTCCCCCCAAACCCCAACACAGATTCAGAGAGTAGTGCTTAGGAAAAAGTGTCAGGGAGACAGGTCCAGGGTATGGCCTTCCTTGTGATTCAAGCAACACCTGAGTTCCCAGGGTTAAAAAAAGCAAGACATTCCACTCAATATTTAATATTAATGCAATCACAATTTCATTTTGATGTAAAAAACTTTTTCAATGTCAAAGGTGCCTGTTTTACCTGATGTCACATGCCTGCCAGTCTTTATAAAACATTGTAAACATCACTTGCTCTGCCTGGAAACCACCTTCTAGGGGCAGGGATTATGAGGGGCAGGAGAGGTCCAGCCCCACACAACCCCAGAACACAATGTAGGGCTCAGTCGTGTGTCAATGTGACATTATCCACTCACAAGTAATGTGACGTGTGCTCTCTTACTAAGTCATTTTGTCCAAGCAGGTGCTCTGTCCCGGAGTCTGTTCCTGTTCAAGTATCAGTATTTCTTCTGAGAGTTGGGAGTCTCAGCTGCTCCAGGAGAAAAACCACAAAGGACAGGTACATTACATTTTCTCCCATTCTCATTACCTGATCAGCAACAAAATAGCCATTTTCCAGCCTGGGAAATACAGGGTCTGATATCTCAAAAAATAACTTGGGCAGGTTTCAACATTTTTTGTTGAGAAAGATACTTCAGGATCTTACTACAATAGAATCAAAATTAAGAACAATAATCACCCAGCATTGTATACAAACAAAGGCTTGAGCTTCTCTTTTTCTGCCTTAAGTTTACATATATCAAGTATGGTTAGAGGCTTGAAATCTCCACTTAAAATATTTGGGGGAACTTTTGGTAATTCTTCTGGCCTTTCTAGACTTCTATAAGTGGTAATTATCAAATCCTCCTGCAATGTTCCCAGAAGCAGCTTTTCAATGTTGCTGGGGCTTAGTAAGTGACTTCTTTAAGAAGGCAAGAGCCAGTTCACTGCAGATGACCTCAGGAAGAGATTAGCATAACAAACAGTTAGTAATGGCATCATTTAAGATCTTCCTGTAGCACAGGCCTGGCAAAAGATCATGCTGAGTACTTGTCACCCTGGTCAGCATTTTCAGATGTCTTTGTTTAGTTGATGGTCACGCTGGCTTCCTTCTGACGCAGTCTTTCTTTCTGTTGTTTAAGGGAAAAAAATGAGTTTAGTACTATTTAATGTTCCACCTTCCTCAAACTTTGATAAATTCCTCCAATTTTGGTTTAGTTGTTGATAGATGTCCCAATCCACCACCCTTACTCTCTAAAAGACAAACAAAATGAATGACCAGTCATTTAAACATTGACCTTTACCATATCAGGTTGCTCTGTTTTCTTCTGTGACAAAGAGCCTCGCTTTATAGTGTTAACTCCTAACCTTATCCCTTGGTCCACTAACAAAATTAGGGAATATTCAAGAAATAATTTCTAAGGAGCCTAGATATAAAAGATCACTGGATCCTAGTTGAATGTGTCTGCATGCCATCAACTTGGCAGAACTGAGAAAAGCTGATGCAGAGGTGGATGGAAGGTGACTAAATTGAGTCTCTGCAGAAAGGCAGATCCCTTTGTGCCATGGGGTTTCTACTTTGTGTTCCCTCAGCTCTCTCAGGGACAACCTTCTAGGTGAGGGACAAGGCAGTCTGTTGGGACAATGTAGTGAAAGAAAATGAGGACACAAAACAGAAACCGTCCATCTCAAAGGGACAGGTTCTCCCCTGCTTGTGAGCTGTGATGCAATGCTGGAGTGAATTTCTAGTTGGGCATAGACGTAAACTTAAATTGGTAATTTTTAAAACCCTCCTGGAGTTTGAATCCCAACCCTGACTTGTGAAATTGAATCATGGATCAGTTTACAAGTTCTTCCCTAACTTCCAACACAGCAAACAACCACTCTAACAAGGTGAGGATTATAAATAGGAGGTTGCTCATAAGGGGGTCGCCTATACTAGAAGGCAGTACTTCCTGCTTCCCTCTAACTCTACAGAGTGGAGCCATTCCCTCTGCCCCTGGATACAGCATTGGCTGTCAAAATTGGGGTGAGGAGCAAACAAAGGGGGAAGTTGTAGAGGTTGATGAAGGAAGAAGATACAAATCAGGCTGAGCCCACTGCTACTGAAAATTATATAAATGAGTGTAATGATCACTTTCAAAAGGATGCAGTGAATCTGTGTATTCCTAGGGGCGAGGTGCTCCAACCACAGCTGGCTATAGTCAAGGGGTCTGAAGTCTCTAACTCTCACTCATCACCTCCCTCAACATTCATTAAACTGCTGTTGGGGTTGCTATAAGTGATGCCACAATCAACCAACAGAACTAACATCACTTTATCACTAATATCACCTGGGATTCAGGAACTCCACCCCCCCCCCACATCCCCCCGCCCCTCCAAACTCAGATTGCTTTGAGTGGATTTAAAGTAGTTGGAAAAAAGTATTGATAACACAAAAGGAGAAAATAAGTAGCTGTTGGAGTGAGGATACAGGGAAACAGGGTCTCAGAGTCAAAGTGAGGAGCCTGATATTCGAATCTCAAGCTGGGATTTGAACTCTGATACTTTGGGTTCCTAACCATTAAGCTATTCTGAGTATTCTCTGTAAAGTATGGGTTGAGTGTCAGGGCTATCCTTACTGAGAAATGTACTGTGCTGTGGAGGACAACGTCCTCTCCAAGACAGAAGGACTGACCGGATTGCTAGCTTTCAGCCCAGGGAGAGACACCGGGCAATCAGAAGTGTGCTACTGGCTTTGTGATCTGGACCCCGCTCCTACATAGGTCATATCTGTGTACATCTGAGTTTTCCCAACTATTAAAAGAAAAGGAGGCCCTCCCTGGTGGTGCAGCGGGTTAAAGTGCAGCACTGCCAGAGAGCCACAGTGGCTTCAGGGTGAGTTTGATCCCCGCCCCGGAGGTGACCACATGGTACAGCAGACCTCCCCTGTCTCGCCCGCTGATCCCCTCAGCAGTGTACTTTGTTCATCTGCCTGCTCTGCTCCCTACTTTGCCTCTGGTGAAGCCTCTCTCCACCCCTGCACCTCTGGCTTATACCCCAGTTCTGTATGCATAAATACATAAAATCTTTAAAAAAAAGAAAAGGAACTGAGTAAGATAAAATATTTAAACCTTCAGAAGAAGTGTTTTGAGGTAAGGGGGATCATGGGAATGGGGTAGGGTGTAGAAGGATGTTAAATGGCAAAATGAACAAATTTGATTTATCACAAAATGGCCATTTTTTTTTTGTTGGCGGAACACAAGAAGCTCTGGTTTGTTTCTTTCTCCTTTATCTATAATCTTTTTTATCATGTATAACTTGGGGTGGGAGCTGAAATCCTGGATAGTACCTGTCAGTATTTTGAGATTTAGCCTTTAAATTTAGATACATTTCTGGGTGCATCTCAGGTTAAAAGGAAACATCTTAAGTTACACTAAAAAAAATTCATCTCACCAGACTAGCTGTGGGATTGATTTTCTTTGTCTCTACTTTCTTCTCTGACGTCAACTTGCTGACCGACTCCTGAGCCATCTTCAGTCTGAAATAGAAAGTGGGGAGGAAAACAAGAGGCAGGGGAAGGAGGAACAGAAAAAAAGGGTTAAGGTTAAGCACAAATGCAAATGCTTTGCAATAAACAATCAAGCTGTAGTTTGAAAATCTAAGGAGATTTTCAACATTAAATTCAAACTCTAGGTGTGAAGGTATTTCTTCTCTATTATTAAAACTGAATTTTCATCACTGAGATGTTCACCTAGATTAACACCTAGACAGCCTGGGATGCAGGTACCTCTCATATGGAATACTAGACATGTCCACATTAGTCTCAATGTTCACTTCAAATTATCTGATTTGTGATCCACTCAGCAGAAAAGAAGAAGACAATTCTGCAAATTGAAGTTTTGAGGAAAAAAAAGAAAACTATAAAAATTAAAATATACCAATTCATGTCAAGAAAGTAAAAAGATAAGCCACAGACCAGGAGAAAATACCTATAAGTTATATATCTGAAAAAGGACTTCTCAGAATACCTGAAGAACTCTTACCCAAATAAAAAGACAAGTTTCCTAGTTAAAAAATGACAAAGAAGGGCCCTTCCTGGTGGCATGCTGGGTTAAAGTGCAGCACTGCAAGCTGACTGCAGCTGCTTCACGGGAGAGTTCCAGTCAGCGCTGGGGGCGACTCATGTGGCATAGCAGAACTCTCCTGACTCACCTGCTGCTCCCCTCCGCAGTGTTTTAAAAAAAAAAAAGTGACAAAGGATTTGAACAGACATTTCTTCAAAGAAGCCATGCAAATGGCCAATAAGCAGATGAAAAGATGTTCAATATCATTAACCACCAAGGAAACACTAAATCAAAATCAACATGAGATATTACTTCATATCTACTAGGATGTCTAGAATCAAAAGACAGAAAATAACAAGTGTTGGAGATGAGATTTGGAGAAATCAGAATTCTCATCTGCTCCTGATGGGATTATAAAATAATATGACCCAGTAATTCCAAGCTAGGCATATATGTGTAAATAGATCCAAGAAAATGAAAATAAATATCCACAGAAACTTTTGCCTATGAATACGTATGACAGCATTATTCATAATAACTGAGAGTGGAAACAACCCAAATTCCCATAATTGATAAATGGACTTAATGTGGTATTAGCCATACAATAGAATATTACTTGGCCATAAAAAGAATGAAGTGTTGCTACACGTTGCAAAGTAAATGATCCTCAAAATCCTACATAATATATGATTCCATTTATATAAAATATCAGAATGTCCAAATCTAGGCAGACACAAAGTACATTAGCAATGCCAGGGACTGGTTGGGAAGGCATATTCTTGTGAATATACTGAATTGTGTATTGTGAAAGGGTGAATTCTACTGTGTGAATTATGTCATCAGATCAGTACATCTATTAGTTAGACAATATCAACTGTTGCTGAGGTTATAGAGAAATGGGAATGGCCATAGTATTCTAGAGAGTATAGGTTGGTACAGCTGGTTTTGGCAACATCAGGTAGAATGGAAAACACATACACCATATGAGTCATCAATTCCTCTTTTAGGGACAGATGCCAGAGAAACTTTCATAGGTAGACAAAGGGTTTTCACTGTGACAAACTAGGCAATAATGAAAAATTAGCATCAACCCACTGATTAGGTTCAAGAGGATAAAATGTTGTAGATAATAATAAACAGAAGGTTACTCTGAGTGCTTGCTTACTCCATGCCAACTGCAATTCTCCTGCTTCACTTGAAATAAATCCGTTAATTCTCATGAGATAGAAACTTCTACTAATCCTATTTTATAGATCTTAGCCCCCATGTAATGCTGCTTATGTGGTTATATTTACCTAATGGACTATGGTGTAACTGTGGAAAGAAATAAAGTAGGCCTAGGCATTCAACAATGACAGATATTAGACTCATGCTATTGAGGAAATGAAAGATTCTGCGGCGACATGGTAAGAGGCCATCTAGCATGGTGGTCAAATGGTCAGGTTCCAGGGCCTGACGATGGGATTATTCTCAGCCCTACCACTTAGTAGTAGTATAAACCTGAACAAATGACTTACCTATGCCTTAATTTTCTAAAAAGGGGGATAATAATAAATGTGCATATGTGGGTCCTCCCTGGTGGCACAACAGGTTAAAGTGCATCACTATGAAGCTATCCACAACCACTGCAGCACAAGTTTGATCCCTGGCCAGGGAGTTGACCCACATGGCACAGCAGACCTCTTCTGACCCTCCTACTGCTCCCCTCAGCAGTGTACTTCATCAGTCTGCCTGTTCTGCTCCCCTTTCACCTCCTATACCTCTGCCCTGTACCCCATTTGTGTATGCATAAATAAATCTTTAAAAAATATAAATGTGCATATGTTACACAGAATCATTGAAAGATGAAGATATTGTAGGTCCAGGCAGTGTGATCACTAAATACTTGTTCTGTGCAACAAGGATGCTGAACTGTATATATGTTTGTATATGGTACCCACAAAATGATGGGTGCATATGAAAAACTGTACAAACTACTACATTTACCTACAGATGCATTATAGGTAAATCAAGGCTGGAATGATACTCCCTAGAAGTTATCACTAGAAAGGTAAAGAGAATGGCTTTGGAAAAGAATAGGTCAAATAGAATTTAATTTTTATCGATAATGCTTCACTTTCTATTAAAACACCTTAAATATTATCTTAAATAATATGTGGCTAAATATTAACAGGTCATAATGCTAGGTGATGGGACTGTGGGTGTGTTATATTATCCTTTGCATTTTTCATTAAAAAATCTTCAAAATGTTTTAATATTACATTTTTAAGGATCTACCAGCTCAGACAGTTAGAAAGTGAACATGCCTTTTCTTTTGCTCAATATTAATCACATATTTACTTAATATTGAAGAGGTGGACAGCTTTAGTTTTTAGCTAATTTCACACAGCTCACTTAAAACACACGCTTAGTAATCCAATCTCCCTGTCCACATGTACAAGTTAGTTACAATGAATTCAATATGCTGGCTTGTGTATCAGAAAAGAAATAAAAATGAGACAAAGATGAACAATGATTTATATAATCCAAGAAGAAATACATCTGCAAAGCTGCCCTAGGAACAGGCACTTCTCCACAGTGACATGGGTCTGAGTGCACATACCACACAGCCTAGCAAAGTTTTCCCTTTACAGTAATAACCGATTTTACCCACATGAGAAAAGAATGCACTAGAGGATCATATTCAGGTCAGACTACACTGAGACTGACTATTAAGGAATTTGCAAAACCAAGATGATGATACTGAAAATGAGACCACAGTTTGTAGCATTTACTCTTGACTTCGCTCCAGCAAGACTTGCTTTTTAGGAGACATCTATTAGTGACCTTTTAATGCCAATTCCAATGGCATGGTTTGGAATTACAATTTCTCTCCAGGTCTAACTTTTAGGGAAGTATTTGAGTCATTTTTTTGGCTTTAATGGTTTCTTTTTGCCTTTGAATTCTGGTCTTCTTAGCTAAGGTTCTGTCCCCACTGCAAACCTTTTCCTATATTGGGGCAGTTCTGCAGATGACAGGCCATCATACACTCACTGGTTCTATTCTTCTCCAAACATTTTCATGCAGTGATTTAGTTCCATTTTTATGGGATACTCCTGACGATTAAAATGTTGAGAGAAGGCATAGTTTGGAGGCAGGAAGCTTCAGCATTCGCTAGATAGGATTCTAATCCTATATCTGCCAATTAATTATTACTTATTTTTTAATTTACCTTTAGTTTTAATAGTAATATAATAGTTTATTTTTACATCATTTTGTGCCTTTTCCCACCTCAGTTGTAATCCCTGTGGGCTTCCCATCACCAAATCACCCATGTGCCATCACCATAGTCCAGTGCACTTACCTCCCCCCACTGATTTTGATCCCATTCCCCACTCCACCCCCATAAAATATCTCTGGTATATAATTGTTCATATTATTATTATTTTCTTGCCTGGTCCATTATACTCCTGCTATGAGTGAAACCATCCAGTATTTTTCCTTTTCTTTCTGGCTTATCTCACTAAGCATGATCTTTCCCAGCTCCATCCATGTTGCTGCAAAAGGCATGTGTTTATTTTTTTGTTGTTGTTGCTGAGTAATATTCCATTGTGTATATGTACCACATCTTTTTAATCCAGTCATCTACTTTTGGGCATTTGGGTTGTTTCCATGTCTTTTCAATTACATGTAAGGCAGTAATTAACATGGAGGTACAGGTATCTTTTTGAATCAGTGTTTTTGTCTTTTGAGTAGATACGTAGGAGTGGGACTGCTGGGTCATATGGAAGATCCATTTTTAGCAGTTTGAGAAACCTCCAAACAGTTTTCCATAGTGGTTGGACTAGTTTGCATTCCCACCAGCAGTGCAGGAGAGTTCCTTTTCTCCACATCCTCACCAACATTTGTTGTTGCTATTTGATTTAAGATGTGCCATTCTCACTGATATGTGGTGGTATCTCATTGTGGTTTTAATTTGCATCTCCCTTATTACAAGTGATGTTGCACATTTTTTCATATGCTTGTTGTCTGCCAATTAATTATTAAAGCTGTGGTGCAAGTGAATCAACTTTTTCTAAACTTCTATTTTCTTTGCTATAAAGTGGAATATAAACCACATGGTATTACTGTGAGGATAAAATGAATTGAGATCGATCGACGATCTCTCTCTCTTTCTCTCTCTCTATCTATCTGGTCAATAATACATCACCACATTGGAGTCTTCCATCACAGAGATAAAGGAACTCCTTAAGGACACATAACAGTTTCTAACTTCAAATGAAATGAGTGAACTATTAGTGAAGTACTAGTTCAAAGAAAGATCATTTAGATGTGCCCTAAATCATAACAAATCAACTAATGTTATTACCCTGAGATTTAGCAAACCCAGGACCTCACCTCAATTTTTCTGATCTGAAAACAGATTCTAAAAGCTTTATCTAGAAGTTAAACTTTGGTGTTGGTATGACAAAAATTTTCTCAAACACATAAATAA